TAAGAATCAGTTAATTTAATAAATGTAAAGTACCTTGAAAATTTTAAGTACCTTAGAAATCTTAGCCAATACATTCAGATTTTCCCCTTATCCTCTCTCATGATTCTTTCTAGTACCTCCTCCTGCATTACAGATGCTTCATGTACCTAACTACCCAGGGATTTTTATTCTGGAATTTCTTTAGGATTAGGTAGTATCCTAGGCTTCAGGATCTCTATTTACACCAGTCACAATGCTGCTGCTGCTGCTTCTGATGATGATGATAGAAATATGTGCCAGGCACTGTGTTAAGTGCTTTACAATTATCTCATTTGCTCCTCACAACAACCCTGGGAGGTAGGTGCTGTTATTATCCATATTTTACAGAGGAAGAAACTGAGGCAAACTCAAAGTCAAGGGACCTTCCCCACAAGCTAGTGTCTGAGGAGAGATTTGAACTCAGATCTTCCTGACTTCAGGCTCAGCACTCTATCTACTGTACTACCTAGCTGCTTCATTCTACCTTGCATCATATTTGTAAATAGACCAAATCTTTCCTCTTAGACTAAATTCCTTAAGTATAGGCATTGTCGTTAAAAAAAAAAATCCCTGACACCTAGCACATTTTCTCATACATAGAAGATACTTTGTATTTATTGGATTTTTTTTCAATGAATCTTAGTGGACTTTATTGGTAAGTAGGTAAGCCTTTACTAAGTGCTTATTAGGAGACAGAGTGCCAGGCCTGGATTCAGGCAGACTCATCTTCCTGAGTTCAAATCTGGCCTCAGACACTTACTAGCTGTGTGACCCTGGGCAAGTCACTTAACCCTGTTTGCCTCAGTTTTGTCATTTGTAAAATGAGCTAGAAAAGGAAATGGCAAGCCACTGCTGTATCTCTGCCAAGAAAACCCCAAAAGAGGTCACAAAGAGTCAGACACAACTGAAACAATAATAAGAAGTATTTATTACATGCCAGGCACTGTACCAAAAATTGAGGGCACAAATGCATGCTCCAGTAACCAAGAGATACCTTCTTTTCAGGGAGTTCACATTCTAATAACTAAACACAACACATAGATGGGGAGCTAGAAAGCAGAGAAGGCAGGCACACAACATGATGTAGAAATGTCTGGAATTGGCATGAAGGCCTGGTTCCTGGCTCCAGGAAAGATGAAGTGAAAGCTCACTTCTCAGAGCCTGCTGGCATCGAAGAGACAGAATCCAACTGTCCTGGGCCAGGGGGGATGAGGATGGTAGCTGGAAGACATACTAAGGTATTCTAAAAACAAACAAAAAAAAAACCTGTCAGTAGACATGAATTAGACCAAAAAAGACCCCATATTTCTAATCAGTGGACAAATCCAAAGCACAACTGAGCCTCTAACTTACTCTCTTCTTCACATTTAGTAGTTTTAATTACTTTTTGGATGATACTATGAATAACCATCTTCAAGAATGGCCCCAGAAGAGTGTTGCTCATTAGAGCACAAGATTCTGGAGACCATTCCAATTAGTTTGTACAAAGTCCAAAGCAAGTATACCAGACAACTGCTATGACTTTCAATATCTTAAAACATCTCAGAGACTAACATTTCTGCTCCCACTTAAAAAAATATCCCATGCTTATCTGCATCTGTTTATTTCCCTCAAAACATTTGCTTAATGTTGTGTGGGCGCAGATGAAGGCCAGGATTCAGCTTTGTTATCATTGTTGTTGTTGTTTTGTTTTTTGCTGACTCAAAAACTTAATTAGTCCAATCCTAATGTTCTTTTTACAAAACAAATTTTTTTTTCATGTTGAATAATTGTATATTTATTCTTTCTCCCCCCTCACTTTTTCCCCCCACTCTAGCATTCCAACTTCCATCTCTGTGGACTTGTACAAGAGTTTCCCAGGATGTACATTATACCCTAGTATACAGATGGTTGGTATATTTCAAACATTCAATCAACACAAAACTCATCAAGTGCCTATTATTGTCCAAGTACTGTGTTTAATGTTGGCAATGTGAATACAAAGGTTAAACAGACAGTCCTACCCTTGAGAAGCTTCTACAAGGCAGCAACAAGGAGTCCATAGATAAGTAAATACAGGATTTGTTGGTGTGTGTCTATATACATTATACACTGATCAGGAAAGCATTAATAACTGGGAGATTATGAAAGATCTCTCGATGGAACTGGCACCTAGTAACACAGGTGAAACTGTAGAGCTTTCTAGTCATGGGAGACAGTCTACATTTATATAGCACCTATTATGTGCCAAGCATTACTATGTGCTAAACATGACAAATATTACCTAATCCCCACAACAACCCTTTGAGGTAGGTGCTGTTATTGTTCCCACTTTACTGTTGAAGAAGCTGAAGCAGTCAGAGGTTAAGTGACTTACCCAGAGACACACAGCTAGTAAGTGTGTCTATGGCTGTACTTGAACTCAGTTCTTCTCAACTCTGGGTCCAGCATTTTATCTACTGTGCCACTAGCTAACAGACGGGAAGTTAACCACAACAGAGCAATTTCATAAAATCTAGAAAAAAGAGATTCTCCTAAAAGACAAAATCTATTTCCTGATAGATGAATTGGACATTGAAGTACAACATTTCCATAAGAGGTGCTAATAGGACCATTACAGATTTTAAGGCATTCTTACTTTTCTGGCTCATGGCTCTCACCCTGATAATCTGAGAACTGCTTACCAATGTGTTAGGATGTATTATGTATACATTCAAGATTTCACCTTGAAACCACATAGTCTATGAACTTTAGAGAATGAACTGGTTTATTTACTGGTCAATGGAGACAAAACAGAATTCGTATTAAAGTTCACATATATGAACGAGGCCCACCAATAATAACCCTTCCTTAAAGACCCATATCTACTAATAGACATAAGCTGGTTGGGGCTCACAACAGTAGCCCTTCATTATACTATTCAATCACCTCTTCCTTTCAGGTTCTAGTAGTTTCTCCTTGTGTAGTTTACCTGGATTTTTGGAGAAATGTAGATTATTCAGTTCTATAGAGACAGCTTATTTGCTACTTCACTTTCTTTAAAAGATTTTCAAAATATACAAACTAGGCACTGTTTTCAGATGTTACAATTAACTGTGATTTAGCATACACCCAATTCACAAATTGGCTTAGTTGTTATAACAGTTAGGGTATTTTCATGATATTCAAAAAAGAACAAGAGAACTAAATAGGAGACTAATTAATGATGACTAGAATACCTTCCCACACAAATCAAAACAATTCCACATCTGATTCAAAACATGGCAATGCATTTACAACATCTTTTTTCCTTCTAAATGCCCCCAGAAGCCTGTTGATAATTTAAACCACAACTTGATGCCAAACCTAATTTTCTAAACTCCATAAGCTCCGTGACAATAAAAATGAAATCCCCAAGTGCTAACGCATTAAGAAGGCTGATGACTTATGGTGGCCCTCCCTTGAATAACTGATAAAATGCTTATTTAACCTGTTTCTAATCTACCATGTTTTCTCTTGTTTCTTAGGACTAGAGGGACTTCTAGTTTTAATAATACCAAAATAGAGCTTATTTTTTAAGAGAAGCAGAGCATTATATATTTAAATGTCATAGATGGAAAATACCCTGGAAACCATGTAGTCCCAATGTCTCATTTTATCAGATGATGGAACATAGACCTATGGAGATGAAGTGCTTTGCCAAAGGTCATACAGCTAGTTAATGGCAGAGCTATAATGAAATTCCATATTTCCTCACCAGTAGGTATACGTGCTTTCGGAGGCAATCCATGAATATCTATTGACTGATTTGGGAGTAGAAAAAAAAAAAGAGCAAAGGACTTGGAAACAGAATTTTGACTGTTGAGTCAGTCCTGTCCCAGGAGTTAGAGTCTAGAGCCAACAAAGTCAGACTACATGATCAGGAAGGGACAAATTTCAAACCCCCAGCAGCTTGTGGTCTGGAAAATCCAATACTTGATTTTCGGAACTGTTTTAGTGTCTTAAAAAATAGCTGGAATTTATATAATGCATTAAAGCTTGCAAAATACCTTATATACATTGTCATTTGTGCCTCACAATAAAGCTGTGAGGCATTTGCTCCAGGTTTCGTTGTCCACATTTTACACGGGAGGAAACTGGAGAGAGTAAATGACTAGCCCACTCTCTTGTAGCCAGTAAGCATTTAGTGCTTAGCACAGTGTCTGGCACATAGTATGTGCTTAACAAAGATTGTTTGATTCATTACTGAAGTTCCAAAGGTGGGGTTTGAACCTGGGTCTTCCTGAATACAATTCTTCATGGCCACATTGCTTCCTGGAAGATTTATATTGAAACCATGCTTGGCTCCTTCACTAAATAATTCTGCAGCTCTGGGCAAGTTGTAAACCTGTGTGAGTGTGCTTCCTCATTCATAATGAACTTTATGGCAAGACCTATCTCAGTGCACTATTGTGAAAATCAAATGAGGTATGTATGTGAATGTACCTTGTGACCAGAAAGCACTATGCAAATATAAGGTGGGTGCTAGTGGTAGTTGGATTTGTTAATGAAAACTCATGTTTTAGCTAACTCACCCAGAATAAGATTTCAACAAAATGTCTGTCACTAAGTTATTCCTAGTGAAATACTAAAATTCTCCCAGTGGATTCATCTGCCTTTGATGTGTAATTGTATGGATATGATCAGACTTCTTAGAAGTTATAAGTCAGGCAAAAGCAGTCATTTCTTTTAAGATTGATGAATGTCTATGGATAGAGCACCAGGCCTGGTGTCAGGAAGACCTGAGTTCAAATTCGACCTCAGACACTTACTAGCTGTGTGACCCTGGCCAAGTCACTTAACCTTGTTTGCTTCCTTTTCGTCATCTGTAAAATGAGCTGGAGAAGAAAATGACAAACCACTCCAGTATCTTTGCCAAGAAAACCCAAAATGGGGTCACAAAGAGTCAGACATGACTGAAACTATCCAAGGACAACAACAAAGCTGTTTCAAGGGTTATTCACAGAATTACTGTTCCCTTTTTCCTATGGGTCACAATTTGGTTTGCATCTTACAAGAGAGCAAAGAGCTTGCTTAAAGTTGTCCCCAATCACAGTATAAAGCAACAGGTTGCCAAAGGTGTTTAAGGCTGCCAATGGCCTAGAAACAATGTAAGCAGCATGAATCTGATTCTCCAAGTGGCAATTAATTATAAGGATACGGGATTCAATCCGGATGAGCCTCAAGATATGAAAGGGCAAGAAACATGTGTAGAAAACCACAAGGAGGATTATGGCCAGTCTTCGTGCTTTCTGCTTATGAGAGCTCTGGGTATGAGGTCCTTGAGTGAGGTTGTAGATTATCATCATATAGCAAATAGTCACAACCACTAAGGGTAAGCAGAAGGTGACAACTGTTAGAATCACATTATACCATTTGATGGCGGTGAGATTGTCAGAGCTAGTGAGATCAAGGCAAGCAGATCTATTTGTCTTCTGAGTCGATGTAATCAAGAAGCTCGTGGGAATGACCACCACCAAGGCAACAATCCACACTACAGTACAGGCAACCACTGCCCATCTGGTTTTATGAATGGAAAAGCAGGTCATAGGGTGGATGATGACAAAGTAGCGGAAGACACTGAAACAAGTGAGGAAGAGGATGCTGCCATATAGGTTGAAATGGAAGCCAAAGCGGATGAACTTGCACATGAAGTCACCGAAGATCCAGTCCTCATCATTGGCATAGTAGTGGATCAAGAAAGGAAGACTGGTCAAATACAGCAAGTCTGTGCAGGCCAAGTTCAGCATAATAATGGTACAGCTTTTCCAGGGCCTCATCTTGAAAATATAAGTGGAAATGGCTATAGCATTCCCAGGGAAGCCCACTAGAAAGATGATACCATAAATAATAGGGAGGTAGTGTTTCCTGAGTAAGAATTTTTCATCTGTGCAGTTTCCAAAAGCAGCTGGGTAATTATGTGCATCAGAAGTATTATCTAAATTGCTTGGTCCTTTATTCATGGTTGTCTTCTTTCATCTTTTAGGAAAATAACATATTTATTTAGTCAAACAACAGAAACACATTGGAAAGCAATTCCCTGGAAAGGGAAAAAATAAAAACCCACGTTAATGAGATGAAGATGAAAATAATGATCAGCTTTTAAACCAAAATTACTCTAACAGTCTATATATTGCTAGTTATTTCTCCTTCGTCTTAAAGGAGATTTTTTGGAAGAGCATCTTGCTTTCTAAGAAAAAGACAGAGGCATGGTTACTGAAAACATCTAAAATACATTTTAGTAAAAAAATATCTGCAATAAAAATATTAAGTCACCCTCAACTGTAGTTTTGAAATTATGTTCAAATATGCAAAAGGACCTATATTCATTCATTCAATAAACATTTATCAAGTGCCTACTATGTACCAGGTACTGTACTAAGCACTGGGGATACAAAAAGAGGCAAAAGACAGTCCCCACCCTCAAGGAGCTCACAGTGTTCTCATTAATGGGGAATTCTTGCCAATAAAATGAATTACAATTCATCTCTGCCTGCCTCATCTGGTACAACCCTTATGAATACCAAATTAGAAAATCAGTAATATTAAAATAGTAAAACGAGAGGTTGAGGAGTGTATGGCTTTGGAGGGTAACCTAAGTTCTTAAAAAAAAAAAAGACAGCATTAGTCACTCTAATAATCTTTATTATGATAGGATCCAAAAGGAATAACCTGATAAAGTAAAAGGGACTAGTTGTAGGTAACATTCACGTTAAATAAAGAAAAATGTGATCAATGGCAGAAACTGTGGGAAAAGCGTAGGAGTTGTTGTCTGAGAACCTGAGTTCAGATCCTCCTGACTCTGCCCATTGTAATCTATGTGACCTCTGACAAGTCATTTTCCCTCTCTAGGTCATAGTTTCTTCTGTAAAATGATGTGTCTAGAAAAGAATGTCTTTAAAATTCCTTCTAATCCCAGATAATATTCTAAGAGAATATGTTTAAAGAAATGAAGCCCTAAATAGGTCTCCTTTTCAGCTTTAATGAAGTGTTCATTAAAGAGTTATTTGTAATTAGTTCAATTCTTTGCTAAAGTATTTGAGTTTGTTCTCTCAAGCAGCTCAAATATTCCCTCATAATCTACAGATTAACTTACAAGGCAAAACCCCTTTTTTCAGGTAGAGTCAAAAAATACTTTATCTTAGTCAAAGTAATCATATATTCCACATGGGTAGACTCTTAACTTATGAGACTTTACTCTAATACATTATTTCCTGATCCGTTTTACTTTTTTTTTTTTAGATATCACCTCAAGATACATAGATATAGATATAGATAAGCATGTGTGTACATATATAGGTGTGTATGTGTATGTATGTGTGTTTGTATATATACACATATACATACCCATTTCTGTTTCTCTCTCCAAACCCCACAAAGGAATTTGAGATGAGTTATAAAAAAGCAAAGTCTTGGTCTAGTGGGGGCTGAAGGTGAGAAAGGGGAGAATTTTTTGGATATTCTGCTAGATAATGTAATTTAATATATTTTAATCTGAAAATATATTTATTAGAATCCCACATAAGCCCTCCTGAAGGTGGTATAGGTGATACCTTTCTAGACAAATAAGAGCTCATATTTATATAATGCTATAAGGTTTAGAAAACGCTTCCCTCATTAAGTTCTGAAATGAAGGCAGTATAAGTTTGGTATGAGAAAACTCAGGCCCATACAGATGAATTGACTTGCCCAAGGTCATACAACTAATTACTCCCAGAGTTCGAATTCAGCCACCCAATTCTGACGCCAAATTCAGGTTCTTTCTACTATGTCATGCTGCTGTCCTAAAGAAATATTCTTTATGGCTAAGAAACTTAAATCAACATCATTGTAATCCAAAACAATTTACATCTATATCTATGAGCCCTAGTAAGCTGAACATCACTGGACAAGACCAGTAGAAGGGCAGAAGGAGCAATAGAGAACTGTCCCCACAGACCAGTCTTTACTAGTAGAGCCCTCAAATCACCTTGCTTGCCTTCCCAGTTCCTAAAATATGAGGAATTTGTTAGCAAGGATAAAGATTATCTCCAGCTACCATTTGAATTGCATCGTTCATTGTCATCTACTTTGATGTGTGGCAGCATGGGGAAGGGAATTAAATTCTCAACTACTTGTATTAATATCAGCATAATTTTCCTCATGTTGACCTAATCAGTAAAGTGGCAGCTATGACTTTCAAGCAGCTAAGCTGGTTTCCTGGAGTGAATTACAAAGATATAAACAAAGCAGCAACTTGTCTTTTACAAATGAACCCTTGGCTATGTTGTGGAACAATCTCAAAAGGTGGTGGTATCAGGAAAGGACAGGTTTTTGTCAGGTTCAGCTGTTCTAATGCTTTAACAAAACCTGGCTGGTATTTAACTTGGTGCTTATGATTAACTATTTTATTGTTAAGAAGGAGGATCTTGCTAAGAAACTTAACCCCTTCTCCCCTAAATGTCATTCAAGATGAATTGAGGATATAAAATATTGATGGTGTCAGGAATAGGATATCAGACAAATTTGTCTTGGTTATAAAAGACAGCATAGGATAGGACAATGTATTTTGCTCATCTTTCACTATGATTCTAACTAGAATCAATATTCATTAATTAATTCAACAGATATTTATCTGGTGCTTATTTTACATAGGCATAGTGTCAGACACTTTGAGGGATACAAAGAAGAGTCATAGTCCCTATCCTTATAGAGTTACAACATAGTATGGGAGATTAAGTATGTATACAACTCTCATACAACATAGGTTGAACAAGTCAATTCTCCTGCATAAGCCATGGTGTTCTCATCTGTGAAATAAAGGGGTTAGAATAGATGGCCTTTGTGGTCTATTCCACTTCTAGATATATGATGCAACGTAAAAGTACAAGAGAAAAAGTTCAATGAAAACTCACAGGAAGGAAAGACAACTTTTACATGAGAGGGATTAGGGAAAGATTATTGAATTGAAAAAATAGTGGCTGAGGAAAGAGGGAAGGTAAGAAAGGGGTGGGGGTGCAGAGGGAACATATAAGCAAAAGCAGGAAAAGGAAGTTTGTATCTATAGCAGAATGAGTTTGGCTGCAGTATAGAATGAAATGAGGCTGGAAAAGTTAGTTGAGGACAAATCATGGAAGGCCTTGAATATTAAACAAAGAAGTTTGAGCTTCCTTCCACCATTGAAGGTTTCTGAGCTAGAGTAAGATATGATCAGAATTGAGTCATAAGAAGATTAATATGACAGCAATATGCAGGATGAATTGGAAAAAGGAGACAGGGCAGTAAGAGGCTATTATGAGAGTTAAGGCAAATGGAGAGTTAAGATAATGAAGAGTCAAACTAGAGTGGTGGCAATGGAAATGTAGAGAATGTGGAGGTCAGGGTATAGATTTAAATGATATTGTGGAAATAAAAAACTCCAACAACTTAGCAAATTACTAGATAAATTTTTTTTAAGATATGGTATATAAAGACAGAGAAGTTAAAAAATAAATTCAAGATTGTAAGCTTGAATGTAAGGAAAGACAGTGCCACTCAAAAACAAAACAAAACAAAATGCAGAAGCAAGGGAGAACGTGTTTGGGTGCAAAGATAATCAGTTGAATTTTGGACATTGTTGCATTTGCAATATCAACAGGATACCCAGGCGGACTTAGCCAGACGATAACTGTGTAAGGTTATGAGTTGCCAGGAGGAAAGAGAGAACATCAATGGGTGTATTCATCCACAAAGACGTCATAGTTGAACTCATAAGAATGGATGGTATTTCCAAGAGAATATAGGAAAGAGAGCTGATGATACAAGCACAGAGACAGCACTATTTGGTGGAAATGATGAATTAAAGGAGCCGGTGAGGGAAACAAGGAAGGAATGATCCAAATGGTAGAAGGAGAATCAGAACAGTGTCCAATTTAAGGGAAGAGAAAGCTTCAAGAAAGGAGTGATTAAAATGTGAAATGCAGCCGAAAGTTCAAGCATAACTGGATTTGTGTATTAAGAGTTCGCTGGAAAAGAGTAGTGTGACATTGTGTGATGACTAACTTTGATAGACTTAGCTCTTCTCAGCAATGCAAGGATCTAAGACATCTCCAAAAGTCTCATGATGGAAAATGCTATCCACATCCAGAGAAAGAACTATGGAGTTAGTTTCTTCTGTTTTGTTTTGTTTTTCTTTCTTGTGGTTCTTCCTATTGATTCTAATTCTTCTTTACATAACCAACATGAAAATATGTTTAATAGGAATGTATATGTAAAGCCTGTATCAGATTGCATGCCATCATGGGGAGGGAGGTGGGGAGGGATGGGCAGAAAATTTAAAAATCAAAAGCTTATGGAAGTGATTGTTGAAAACTAAAAATAATTTAATTAATTAATTTTAAAAAAGAAAAGAGTGGTATGAACAGAAAAATAGGGACAGAAGCCAGAATACAGAGGTAAGGTGCAGATGAGTAGTGAGGAAATGGAGGTCCCATCAAACTGATCCTTCATGATTATTGCTGGTGAAGGAGCAAGCAAGGAAGCTCTCTTGAGAGGGTAACAGGGAAATGATACATGGTGAAATACAGCAGGGATAAGAAATGGTGAAGGGGGTCATTATACTTTCCAGACCTTGGCCAATTACAATGGAAATCACTAGCTTTAGAGTCAATGGACCTGATGCCTGGTTCCACTTTTGAAACTCACTACTTTTGTGACCTTTGTCAAGTTGTCTAGGCCTCTATTTCTTTATCTGTAAAATGAAGGGTGTGCAGCAAGGTGACACAATGGATAGAAGACCAGACTAGGAATCCAGAAGATCCATTTTCCTAAGTTCAAATCTGGCCTCAGATACTTACTAATTGTGCGACCCTGGGCAAGACACACAGGGTCATTTGCCTCAGTTTTCTCATCTATAAAATGAGTTGGAGAAGGAAATGGAAATCACGCCAGTATCTTTGCCAGGAAAACCCAAATGCGGTCATGAAGAGTTGGACTCAACTTAAAAACTACTGAATGACAGC